GTGTTCGATCTTTGTATCAATAATTATAACAAAACTAGTGTAGTTATTTCACAAAAAATCTCAATAATACAAATCGTCGGGGTTAGCGCAATTACGCGTAACTAGCATTTGATTATGAGTCTCCATTTCGGTAATTTAGTCGCCAAATCAATTCCGCGTAAATGTCGTGGTAACCAAATTAGCCTGATTTACGGGAATCTATTGTTACCAGTCCGTAGACAACATAAATTAATGTTTACTGTGCAAAAATGAATGAATAGAAATAACAAAGTAATAACGTTAAATCCCTCTCCTGTGAAATTTGATTTGGTACAGATACGCGTCTTTTACCAATGCTACATGCGCGGATTTGCACTATCCCCGACGAAATTACCCTTTTATTGCCATTCTAAGAGTGTAGTCACACGACCAACTGTTTTGTGCGTGTTGTATACTGGGTACGCTGACTTCACTAAACTCTTTCTCTTTTCAGCATATGAGAGTTGTGAAAGCTCCTGTGGTAGATACTGCAATTTGTGACACCTACACGAAACTGCTGCCAGGGCACTACATCTGCATGGGAGGGGTGCAGGACGTCAATCGACATTTCTGTAGAGCAAGTATTATTTTGTACACTCATATACGTTCCAATACTTCGTATAGGTTCACGATTTTACTATTAAATCTTTCTTATAAACCTGCAACGTCAAGTATATAAAAAGCGGTGTCTTGTTATCTAACGCAACGAGATTTTAACCTGCCGCCGGTTCTAATTCCAAAGCACTCTGTAAGCGATCCAATTTGCTTCTCAAATTTATCTTACAAGCTTCACGTTTACTTCAGACAATGCTACAAACGACCAAATCAAATATCAAACATTTTTACAAGTTTTGAACTACATGCAAATTCTAAGTTAACTATAATAGTTGTAACGTACTACAATGAGTAATAATACATATAATACGTTACACTTTGTACGAGATATTAAAAAATAAAGGAATGGACATTGGTTTAGAGAATAGCTGAAATTAAGAAAAAATATATTTTAAATAGGTAAGTAGATAGATAGATAAAATGTTTGTTCAGCTCAAATACAAACAGAAACAAAACATTTACAATCACTTCACAAAGCAGAACATAAAAGCACATAGAACATACATTATTAATTTAATACACATTTATATAAAACACTTACTATGAGAAAAACAAACAAACACTGTGAGAACTACCAAAATTTGATGTACCTATGACTACAGTTAATACTGAAGACCATGAGAAATCAAACAGAGCTGGTTTTCTGCCAGTAACATATGGTGATCGATTGCAACCCAGTAAACCATGCTACCAAAGTGCATCACACGCAAATACATACAACTAACTCTAAAAAGATATACGTATCAAGTAAAAGTGCAAAAGCTTCAGAAAATTGTTAAAAGAAATATTGCTCACAAAACCAGAGTAATGGACAATAAAATTTTTCAAGATTTACCATCGACTACATATTACTACGATTACATTTTAGGTGAAAACTGATAGTTCGTTTCACAATCATGCCAACATAAAATAAATTTTGTTTGTCAAAAACTCTATCAATCTAGATTTCCATAAAGTACGTAGGTTATTTGACAAACGCATTTAGCACTGTTACAGACGACTTAGAAGTTTGACAAACACTTAAAATAATCATCGTAGTAAAACATCGTGATTTCCAATAAACTTAATATTAATGAATAAAGTGACATCTCTCGTTGGTTGCTAATAGCTGTAAAGGTACATGGCGAGCATACATTTCTCACAGATGGCGCTACGCCTAAAAAGTCGTTTAAAACCATAAACAAAGATCTGCAACAAGCACATAGAACAATTTGAGAGGTCTGCTGGTTAATTCCGTCGTTCAGTTGGGAGAGGATCAGCCTCGGTATGTTGGAGGCGCTGGTTTGAGTCCAGCTGGATCGATTCGTTTTAGTAAGGTAGGTGAGGTATATAAGGCCCAGCCGGAAACAAGGCCCAGTATTCAAAAATGGTAGTTAGAATAGTTTAATGATACTAGGTACCTAGTTAGGCATAACAGTAATTCGTTCAGGCTCACATAGAAATTACGTATGCGTGTGCCGCCATTTGGTTATTAGTGTCGTATATAATTTTTTGTCATAAATAATCACGGTTTTCAGTAAGTTTCGCGGTTTTTTCTGTTTTTACTTACGTTGATGTGATCAGAAAATATCGACCTATTACGGAACGTAAGAATATAATTATATGTCTATTTTTACATTAAAAACTTTTGTTATATCTGAAAATGTACTACAGCTTTATAAGGCCTTATAAATACCTCGGGTACGTTATTCATGATTAAACACCTAAAATTTAACCGTTTACAGGGAGCATTAGATAAACGTTCCACCAAGCTCATCATTCAATCAATCATTACTCACTACCACACCAACATGCTAAAGCATAGTTTTCAATTACAGAGAGACAATGGCGGTGCAGTCATCCAAAACAACACCCTCATTGGCGTATCTTCCTACCTCCACTCCTGCGCAGCCTACACACGAACTCATGCCTTCCCAAAAGTATCTAGCTTCGCTCGATGGGTGGAATCTATCATTTGGGATGACGATACTCGACCCACCACAGTGGCAACCACGTCAGTCAGGGCTAAGACTACTAAAGACCTCGGGAACGCAACTGAAGATAATTCTATTGAAGATGAAGCAAGTAGTCCCTCATATGGAGACCCAAGAAATTTTATGTTAACGTTACCTTTTGAACCTATAAACGTGCCTTTACAACCCTCTCAGGACAACTCTGTGTTACCTGGATTAAGTTTATACGAATCGTATCTTCAGAGCAGAGCTCGTGCAAAGACGTCTACGACACAAGACCCTGTTTTAGCTGAACAACAACGGAATAACTTGGAAATGGCGTGGATGCGGAAATATGGTAGTGCATTGATGATGATGCCGCAACAACTGCTCCAGGGAAAGAACTTTGATAAGTTTAACGAGTACACTTAGTGTTCTAAGTAGTTTAAGTGCTAATTTATAAATTGAAGAAATAAATGTTACAAAAACCCTTATCTTGGTGAGTTTATTTAAGGCGACATATTTGACGCGAGCATAGATTTTTAGGAGGTGATGTGTCCGCAAGTTGCGTCACGCAATCTGCGCGCTTAAAATTAACGTGAATAAAATAAGAACAGGCAGATAAAATTTGACACAGATCCGATATTGACAAGCGCCCGATGGCGATCGATGAGGCAGTGGGCGGCGTATCGTTAAACCTCTGGGCAATATTCAATTGTTTTTATTTTTTCATAATATCGTATAGTAAGCTACTCGACTGTCCATAACAGTTGCAGTGCCACTCAGAGCTCTAAATCGCAAAGATCTGGTGGGCACTGCCACTGCGCCCGTCACCCTGAGACATTAAGTTGACAAATCCCATGTGCCTGTAATTTGACCAAAATTTATGGGACAAATGTGAATTCAATAACTATAGGGCTTCAGTTGACAACCAAAATTTAGCAGGTTGTCTGTAGTATTTAAGAAGAAATATTTTCGTTTTAAAATTATGTGCAAATAGATAAATATTTTATTCTTAAAGATTCCGTTTTAGACGTTTATTTTAGCCTGTTTTCGGGATTTTATATGCTAGAATAAAGTACATTTTATCGTGTAACGAATTAGCACGTTCTTTAAACAATATGCTATATTTTTATAAAACCGTTATTTAACAGTAATTACCTAAACCATTTGATCTGCAAAACTGTCTTTCCAGCTTCTTGCCTTGCGATTGACACAAAATAAGTCTACATCAGTAGTGATAATCGAGCTACCTAGTAGAGACCGCTGCAAAACAGCCTATATGTTAGGCTTCTGACTGTTTTCTAGTTGTAGTTTTTGTTTCAGAATCACAATTTTTTTGTTACATTTCATTGGATGGGAGGGTGCAGGTTAATTGATATGATCACGTCAAATTTTATTTAAAATATATACCCCATAAGACACCACCCATATAACCTCAATAGTTGCAGAGATGCAGCAATTTTGTATGGCGGCCATCTTGGATTCGCCATATTAGAATTTTGTTTGGTCCCAGCAGAACCTGATCACGGACCTTGGCAACTTTTGTTTAGATATGAGCGCCGCGATGGTGCGCCGCAGCCACCGCCGCGTTTCCCCCCCGCGTCGCCTCCGCCGACAAATGCAATCGGCGCGCCGTTCAGTTCTATCAGGTTACTATACTTGTTCTGTTCGATCAGGCGTTCCTATCGTACGCATCCACACGCTTACGTATTTTATATGCGTAGTGAAAAGGACGACGCCATAAATTGACATTTCTAAGATAAAACTTTGTTACTTTATATTTGAAGATGTTTTGTTTAAAACATTAATTTGTCAATTTCTCGCTTAGCCATTTTCACTACGCGTACCCAATACGGCATCGTGCGCGTGCGTACGATTGAAGCGCCTGATCGAAGTAATAAAAATTTGGTTACTATAGAAAACACGTTATTTTATTTTTCCTTTGAAAAATAAAATAGCAAACACCGTTATGCAAATTCGTTTCATGGTCGCGCCGCCGAAACGCCGCCGCTACCGACACTTTTTCGTCGACGCGCCGCCGCCGGTTGGTCTATTATCAGCGCTCATATCTACTTTTGTTTGAAAGCCATTAATCCATCTCTGACACTCCGGACAGGCAGTTAATCCTGGAGACCAGTTCGACTTAATATTGTTCGTTAAACCTTCGGCTGAGAGGAGACCTGTGCCCAGTAGTGGGATGCATAAATGGGCTAATGATGACTACGTGCTGATCATGACAAGAAAAATATACTTTAATTCAACCATCTATTCCAAGTAGCTGGAGACGATCGGCTAACGGCATGGATATATCACGAAAAATCTGAGTCAGGTGAAAGGGACTCCATTTTGTGGAGAAAAGACACGCCTGCGTTTTGGTAGCATTAAATTTGACAAGATTGGCATCGCCCTAATCGGAGACTGCCTTAAGTGTCAAATTCTAACGACTAACCTTGGACTCTCGACAAGACTGCTCCTTGTGAAAGAGTTCGCTCAGAGAAGTACTGCCACGTTATCTATTTCTGCCGCCAAGCAGTAAAGTCAGCATTACTGTGTTCCGGTTTTGAAGGGTAAGTGTGCTGGTGAAATTACAGGCACATGGGACTTGTCAACTTATGACACAAGGTGACGGGCGCAGTGGGAGTGCCCATTTACTGCTTGTCGGCAGAAATAGGTAAGGTAGCAGTACTTCTCTGGACGAACTCTAACAAATCTCTACTGCTACCGAAATAATAAGTAAATCGAAATAAAAGTAACACACAACATTGTTCAATTCATAAGACAGTTTGTATAACCATTCATTAATGTCTTTCTCTATACATTTACTCAGTCGGCCGTCTCTTGATCGAGAGGAGGAATATTGGGCCAATATAAATAAATATTCCATTATTCTTGTCTCGCTTTATTTCCGTCTATTGACTTCATTAATATAAAATGTTACGTTCAGTTCAGTTTAAGTTGATTTGTCAAAATCATAAACATAGTATATATAAGAGAAGTATGGTAACTCTATGAAAACGTAGCAGCGCTGCCCGTAAGTGCGCGCATGAGCGACGAAGAAGATATAGCTTTTATCTATGGGAATATAGCAGTACCTACCCTAAATTATATATTAAATAATAATCTAACATGCCTCAACAACAATGAATTGCTTAAAAAAATTAACTTATCTCACTGTAGATGGATGAATTTGAAAGCGAGTCCAAAAATTACTTACTCTGTGGAATAACCCATATTAGCTTATTTCCTCGAAGACTGCCGCACTGTTGCCGCGCTCCGCAAGAGTAACCCGGCTTTTGAGTGGAAGTTACACACCCTAATGTAACAGCGACAACAACAACAACAACTTATTTACGAATATAATCCTAGTCTTTAACTGCCTCCGTGACCGAACGGTTACCATGCCACGCAGAGGTCCCTGGTTCGATTCCCGGGCCGGGAGAAATATTTTTATGGCCTACATTTATTTATTTCGCGAGTTTGCGTGTAATTTGTGGTTGTCACCATGGCACCCTCGACACAGGGTTTCCCTAGCGCGGGGTTATATTGAGTGTGTACGTTATTTATTTATTTATTAGTCTCCCCTATATCTTCACGTCGCTCTCGCGCAAGTCGTGCTGGCCCTACTGCGCTATGCAACGCGACTTCGTAGTAATTAGAGCCACCTTGCGTTTTCAGTAGTAAATGCCCTAAATCTGAATAATGTTTGATAAAACAAAAACTATTTGAAACGAAAATGCAATGTTGAGACTAGCATACTACACATCAATTCCCTAAGTGTAACGACTAATTTCGTCCGTAAAATTTTTCTACCTCTCTCCGGCAAAGTTGTCACTTCCCAGATGTGGTCTTATTATACAAAGAGTGCGAATTGTTGGTATACTAAAAAACTCACAGAAAGATAAAAGGCATCCCCTATTTCTTACAATAAAGTAATAGAATGGTCAATTCATATAATAGCAACGTCGTGTTTTAGTCATTATTTACCATTTATTTCGCAAAAAACTCATGCATAATAACTGAATACACTATGAATATCTTTTACGAGATATATCTTTCTTGGCTACCGATCAAAAAAGCCTTTTAACATTTTATACCACAGTAGGTGATACTAAAGAACCTAAGAGCTCATAAGGCTTTCCACTGAAGGTACTTTACCAACCGGCACACGTATTTTTGCTAAAGAGAGGATATAGCCCACACACGACCCGATATTACTGGCTTTATCAGCGAATGAGGAAAGTTAGGCGTGATAAAAATGTTTACAAATATTTATTTATTTAATTTAACAGGCTTTTAGGCTGGATTTTGACACTTTTAGGTAGATAGGTAGAGAGATAGATAAACGCTTTATTCACTGGTATGACACAAATACATATTGAATACAACAGGAAAATTAAAACATTTTTTGTCGTAGCAGTGTAATGGCGCTGACTCAGCATATGCCTAAGTTCCCTAAGGCGCTGGTTTTCAGTCAGAACCAACAAGAGGTACTAAATCTAGAAGTTATTTGTAATGAAAGATCTAATAAACGGGACGGAAATTGTTTATTAAAATAATAAACGTAATAAAGTGTGAATAGCGCATCTAAAGTAACCTATTCAATATGTAAATGCATGTGCGGATTTGAATATATAAATGTAACTAAGCAAAAATTATGATTGTTAATATGTTTTAGTGTAATGAATCAAAATAAAGATGTATATTTAGAGAGGCTACGAAGAAGAGTACAGAAAACTAGTATTAATATTAAAATTTCAACAAATTAGACAGTAGTTTGTAACGAGTGTAGGTATTGCCGGTATAGTGCTTTGAATTTGTGTTTGGAAGACTTGGTCACCTTCTACTCTATCTACGTCTTTCATAAGTCTTAACACTTATCTCTACACATTCACACATCACTGATATGCCTGAAACTCGAGTACGTTCCGCAAGTTGCAGAATAAACATTACTCAAGCTGTTTCTGAAGTTTTTTCTTTTACTTGAGTGTGGTTTTGAAATATGAAAAATTAGTTTAGCGATGGGCGAGTCGAGTCATTTGACTCGAGTAACTCGAGTTACTCCCACAACGAGTCAACTCGAGTTACTTTTTTATGAAGTCGAGCTAGCTCAGTTCGGTACCTGCACCGCCGAGCCGAATACTTGATTCATACAGCGCAATACGCAGCTTCTCACTCGGTCGGTTCGGCGACCTTCCGAACACGCACGAGTCGCGAGAGACGGGCGAGTTGTTTGACTCGGTTAACTCGAGTTACTCCCACGAGTCAAGTCGATTCACTCGGTTCATTTCCCGCCTAGCCGAATACTTCATTCATACAGCGCGTAGGTTATTCTTTCTCACTCGGTCGGTTCGGCGACTCGGTGAATCGTCGATTCGAGTTCTACTCGCGACTCGCGGTTACTCAGTCGAGTTAACTCGAGTTAACAGTCACGTCAACTCGAGCAACTCGAGTTGAAAAAAATACAACTCGTCTCACCGCTAAGTTAATT